TTTAGGGGGCTCGCCTAATGCTGTCATTTACATTTTAGGTTAACTTAAGGACCTCAGTTTTCCAAGGCAGCAGCTATAAGGCTAGTTTTGCCAATGACAGATCAGATTTTGGCACACACTGATGAACTGGCAAAGCTGAAAGCCAGGGCCACATGAAAGCTTCAGTAAACAGATCTCTGTTGCAACTCCCGCACACCTCTGCTGCCTTGTAATCCCAGGACAAGTGATGAGGTTTGACTTCTCCTCACAAACGTCTGTGTTACTACCTCAACCTCCCATATCATCCATCCCCTCCAACACGCTATGTTCTCCTGACATACATTTTATTTCACACAAAGCTTCTAGATCTAAGAGCCCCCTCTTCTCGTCCTGAGGAAGGGCCTAATCAGGACTTCCATTTGCAGCTCTAACACTAAAGAGCAATAGCAAGGTGAGTTTCCCTTCCAGCATGCCTGGGCCATAGTACTCCGGAGTCCGTGCAAGGTGCCTGGCTACACATCCACAAGTCCATCTCCAGGCTCATTTTAAATTTGGGAACTCCTGAGATACAACTAGCGTAGGCCACGCTCAACAGAAGCGTGACTGGATCTGACCACACTTTGCATCTCACTTACTGAAAAGAGTGGCGCAGAGGAAACAAAGGAGGAAAACGTCCAGTTTGACTTCACGCACCATCACCCCCACCTCTTGTTGCTGAGAGGGAAAACGAACAGGGAGCGTTTCTTTGCCCTGGGCAACTAGCCCCAGTAAAGGGTGAGGAATTTTATCTTCCAGGGCTGATCAATCACCCAGTTGTCTGGGGGAAGAGCAAGAGGTAAGAGGCAGAGAGAAGCAATGGGACTTTGCCCTGCGGCTCAGTTTCCAAGAGTAGCCAAGTTAACCCATTCATATCTCTCCAGTCACCAAACATGCAAGTCCTGCCAAAACGAGCAATTTTGCCACCACCAAAGCATACCCCCGCCCCCAAAGCGTTCTTGCACTCGGTCTTTCCTCCAGAGACAGCCTCTGTAGATATGGGATGGGATAAAGAGACATAAGCCCACGCATAAGCCCACGGAAAGAGCAAGAGCTATGGCACATGCCAGCTATGGCGCACGCCAAATGCATCACAGACTCTTGAGAAAGGAAATGAGAAGTGGATCCTGGCTCTCCAAAGCCACAGAAATAAGCTTACCTTCTTCAGCTTGCCACTTTTAGTCCCCACAAACACCACGCTGTAGCCATTGTAGACGTACGAAGCAACAGAAGTCATCCGGTCCCGGCTGGAGGTAAAGAGAGTCACTCCGTCCACTGGTGTAGAGCCTCCTAGAGGCTGGTTAATGTCGAGCCCACAAAAATTATCATCAATAGGAACTGGCTGGAAAGACAAAGTTTGGGGCAACCATGAGTGAAATACAAGACCACAGGGCGCACACACACATTCAGGCTCATGCAGGACAGAGCACCCAGTCCTGACAGCAGGGTGGGAGCAACAGCCACACAACCCCCTGCCCAGGCTCGGTCGCCTTCCTCAGTATGTCATCTTTGCCACTCAAGGCCAAGAAACTCTGCAGCCCGCCTGGGCCAGGTCATGGACTGTGTATACATACTGGCCGCTCCAAAAGTGTGTGTGGACAGGGTAGAGGTAGAACCCCAAGTTCACCAGTAGATATTTCCATTGGTTTTCAAAGTCCATTAGCTTGCTCATGGATTTAGGTCTTGTGCATGCCTGGCCCACGCAGGAGCTGTCTCCTCCATGTGTTTCACCTCCTCTTGCCCTGAATTCCAGAGGTACTGAGCACTATAAGCAGAAAGGTGCTCAACATCTCCACATCAGCAAAGACTTCCCTCGAAGACCACATAAGCCCCTTCAGATATCACAGCAGAGCAACTCCAACTGTTTTCCCCTGTATCTCCAGTTTCGTCCCTTATCTCAGTAGTTGAACGTGAGGCAACAGCAGCATAGCATAACTGACCTAAGAGCTGAGGGGTGAACCACTTTCTCTCACATAGGGGTGCAAGAAACTTCTCTATAGCCTGTGCTGCTGAGCCAAGAACATGCTTTCCCAGCCTGGCTCACATCACATTTGACACCCAGTCACAAAAAAAACCCCACCTTCCTGCTTTTTTTTTTGAGCACCCCAGTTCCAAGCAGGTAGGGGCTGGGAGCAGCGAGAGGGCTCGTGCCAGCTGCCTGCCCTGCTGCTGCTGACAGCTTGCAGCAGTGGTGGCCTTGCCACGTGCTGCATGGGGCAAGTCTGGATCAGCAGCGCCAGCCAGAGGAAAGGCAGGCGTGGGCTGAGTCTGCACGGCGAGAGTGGAGAGGAAGCTGCTGTTTCCTGCTCACTGCTGTTCATTCCTTTTGGAAACAGCCACCTCCCTTTTGTACAAACAGCCCAGCTCCAGGGCAGATTTTAAATTCTGGAACTCCTGATTAGCTTTCCCAAGCAAACATGCAGCCGGTGGAAAGCGCTAGATGGGCTGCCCTGGAAAGGTAGGATATCCAATTACCCACACAGTAATTGCCCACACAGCTTAATTCCCTAAGCTAGAGGAACGACCACCATCCAAGCTCTGCTATCAAGGCAGAATGTGTAATGGAGAACACTAGGCTGAGGTCCAGAGGTCCAAGATGTATTCTTGTTCCTGCCACTGTCCAGATGTGCTTTTTTTTTTTTTTTTTAAAAAGTCTCCTCACTGTGCCTCAGCTTCCCTTCTACAAAACTGGGAATATGGACACTGGCTTCTCCCTGGAACACCACTTGTCACCAGTAAGGGAAAATCTTTACATTAACAGGTAAGTGTTATTAAGTCATATTAGCCGAGATTGCTTGAGTAAATTCCTACACGGAGTAGGCAGCAGGGCTGTGATATGGGTTGCAGTTTGCCAATGATGGCAATAATTCCACTCACTCATTTTTCATGTGGGATGTTAAGTAACTACCAAATATTCAGGCACATCTAGTTGCAGCCGAGATGGGGAAAGGTCTCTGTCCCATGACTCTCCCCTGTACCAGCCAGCGTTCTAGCTCCTCTCCACTTTCCTCCTTCTACTTCGTTTAAGCTACATTTATCTTCTCCTAGCAGCCAAACTTAATATGCTTGGCAAAAGAAGGCCCCAGGGATTCTCAAGTCAGCCCAGGAACAATCTGCATGTGAATCAAGATTAAAGAAATCAGCTGAATAAAAACACGAAAGATGTAACTGTCATTTATATTTATCTTGTTAGTTTGTTTGTACTACCCTCCTGCTGTGGGAAGGGCGAGACAGCCTTCCTCTGGCTTCCTCAGATTTTTAGAGCCTGAGGTTGAGAACAGCAGAACACTTCCAACAAGCAGCATACACCTCTTATTTATCTACTTAAATACTGTCTCTTCCTTTCATTGTCATAACTGCCTGTCTAATAACAGTAAGGATTAAAGATGAAAAGGACTACTATATCTGCTCCACGTTCAGGGAAACTGAGGCACTAAGAGATTAATCGGATGCTACATGCCCATGTGCAATAAAGTCAGGAGCTGATCCTGGTTCTGCTGAAGCCAGCACCATAACCCCCAAACGGTCCCTCTGCTCAAAGCAGGTTCTGGGCTGCTGGAGCTCCCTCTACCAATAGGCCGCATTTCTCAAGGGCTATCACAGCAAACTGCTGAAAGCGTCCTTACCGCTTTAGTGCACTGAACATCTTTCCCCAGCAGCCAGTTCAGCTCCAGGTTGCCTTCCCCTTGATAGCAAGACTGCAGGCGGTCCTTGATCTGAGCATTGACGGTGCGAATGGGGAAGACGCAGAGCGCAGAATCATCTGGTGGCTGGTGGTACTGCTTCTGCCCCTTGGAGAAAATGGCAAAGAGGACATCTTCCTGGGCTGTAATATTGAGGGACTTGGCCAGCACGTCTCCCGGCTTTGAGAGGTAAGCAGCTTGCAGGAGGCGGTATTCTGTGTCCCCTTTGACACAGCCAAAGGGCAGAGAGACGTACGAATGGAATTTGGGGTCATCTTTGCAGAGACGGACAATACGAGACGTGTAAAAGAGGTCACTGGCAGAGTTGATGGAGACTCCCTCTGGGGTCTCTGGCTGGACAGTCAAAAAATAGACAAAATTGCCACTGGCAAAACCATAGATATAGAAGATGTCAAAGTGCGAAACAAGGGCCAGCGTATCTGAGGGGATTTTGATAAGGGATGAGACAAAGTCACTGTGGAGCTCATAATCCAACATGGCTGATGACTCTGGGTCCCGTGGAAGTTTGCGGCTGGACAGAGTGGGGAAGTAATCCTGTTTCCCATCAACTGCCGTGCCAATAAACAGCTTCCCATCCTCACCTTCTGAGCGCACAATCACGCCGTACATAGTGCCCGTCTTGTTGACACTGGAGAGGTAGTGCTCCTTTTTGTGGGAGGGCTCCACCAAGATGAAGAGGTCGTCCAGGCGCAGCAACTTGCAGACCCCCTGGTAGAGGCTCCCGCAAGCCAGCAGCCGGTTCTCAGAGTAGTCAATGATCAGCAGCTTGTTGACGTTGTTGGTGAGGGTCAGGATCTCGCTGCATGGCTGGACAATGAGGGGTGGGTAGCAAGATTTGTTGTCCTCCTCAGGACCAGTCTTGTGAGCCACCAAAATGGTCAGGTTGCCTGAAAGCTTGTAAACCCGGTTGATGGCTCCAACATAGACTGCTCCAGTGCCCTGGTGGACGGTCAGGTGGTTGAAAGTCCAGTCCCGGTTCTCAGAGTGGAAGGTGCTGAACAAGGCATTGCTGGACACGTTCCGGGAAAGCGATGCCAAGAAGAGACAGACTAAAGCCACTGACCAGCCGTCGGAGTCCAGTACCCGAGGCCAGTTCTTCCTCTGATCCATCCTGGGAAAGGCAAACGTCCGTGTTCCCCGCGTGCGTCCTTTGCCCCAGCAATGTTCCTCACATGGTTCTGGGGGAAAGGGAAAAAACAACATACAGAGCAAAGGATTAGATCCAGCGTGCCCTGCAGAGAGAATTCAAAGCAGGCTATCTAATTATACAGTCCTTGAGATAAAGTGAGGACGTCTCTGAGCCCAACAAGAATTAAGCAGATCTCCTTACTTATTGGTAAACAGTTCAGTCTTGATGTTTTGCCACTTGGTTCAGCCTCTGCGTGTTAATTTGTTATGTGGTTTAGCTGTTTATAATGCACTCTGCTCAGCCATGGGAGGGGATAATCAGCGTCAACCCAAGACAAAGCCTGCAGTTCACACACCCAACCATCAATCTGCAATCTTGGCTAAAAGGATGTCTCCTGCAGGGTATGTTGCTGGAAGCAACAGAGGAAATAAGAGGTGTTTGCTACCTTTAAGTCCTCTACGGTTTAATTTAAAACCCTGAGGTAGAAGTCTCACGTAGGCAAGTGCACTGAGCATACACACAACAAAGCTGGCAGTAACTGGTTTCTCCCACTCCCCAAAGCTCAGAGGGACCCATACGGGTGCTTTTCAGTCTGAAATATTTCACAGCTTTTGCAAGGTACTTTATAGCTAAAACACAGTGCAGGCACACGGCCGTTAGATAAGCAACCAAAACACAGTCAGCTGCACAATGTGCCAGGGAGAACCTACCAATTTAGAAGGCTTGTACAAATGTCCTACTCTAATGACACTTCCAGGAGATGATTAAAACCCACACAAAGCAGCAGCTTGGACACTGCGTCCAAGAGACCTGCTGCAAAACAAATTGCCCACGTGCCCCTCTCAACGGGGCTGCAGATAAAAGTCAAAAGTACAGCCTTCTTTGAATGACAAGTTTTCTTTCATCTATACAGACAAGGAGATGGAGGTCAGCCGTGAGTCGGAGAGCTCTGGCCAAAATCTATGCGGAAGTGAGGCGTGAAAGGAAGAGACTGATTTTTTTAATGGAAAACGTCTATTTGGGGAAGCATTTTATAGGGTCCCTTGAATTCCCCTCCTACCACAAACCACCTGAAATCCTTGCAGATAGCAGCTCAGCGGTATAAAAAATGGTCTCAGACAAGAAGAGGGAGAGCACGTGTGGAGCGAGGAGGCGAGTCAAGAGATAGACAAGAAAAGCACAGCGCACAGACACATATTTGCATTTTACAGGATCACCAAGAGGCAGGGCCTGGAGAACAGCACTGGAAATTCTGCACAACGAGCAGAAAAGTAACAACTAAATCAGCAAACGAGGAGAGGAGGTAATGATGTAAGGGACGGATTTGAGGGACTCGCTACCGCAGGGAGAGCTAAAAGGGCATTTAAAACACCAGGACTCCAACACCTTGAAAACAGCATGTCTCCTTATGTCCGTTCTGGCCACTCAAGGAACGGGATACACCTATGTGTAACCCTTAATAAAGGGCTGAAGGACCAGCAGGGTCCTACTCCTCCCTCCTCTTTAGCAGCTGACTTGTAAACACAGCACCGGCTGAACCTCAGCAGTGGGTGCTTGCAGACCAGCTGGGTCTCCTCTGAGCCGGAGGGAAGGCCTCGCAGCAGGAGAGGGGGCAGGAGCCGCGCTGACACCCCATCCCCCCCGTTCCTCTCCATCCACGCTCGCACCGTCGGCTGTCAAGCTGCATTAGGAATCATAAGCCTGGAATTTCCTTAGGAAACAGGAGCTCGCCTTGGAAAGGCGCTGCCTGCATGAGGCACGTTTACATCAGAAAGCGTTTCATCCGCCCTTCCGGTCAGCGCGGGCACGCACAGACCCAACAGCCGCTTAAGGGGACACATATAGCCTCTCTGCCTGCTCTACCCAATCGTTTAGCACCTCCGCAAAGGGGGCGGATTAAAGACCCTCGCGCTCTGGCATCCGCCTCGCCTAGAGGGGCTCCGGCGGGCACGGCCCCAGGCGGCAGGGCAGCTTCTGGCCCCCTCCCACCCGCCGCCCCCGCTCCCCGGC